AGAATAGATTAAACATAATGTTAAAGAATGATACTTATCAATTCTACCTAGTAGTTAATGTAAATTAAGTGTCGATGAGAATAGGTCACAAATCTCCAACATGCACTCTTGATTCTATATTTGTTTATGCATCTTTAACTATATATGTTGGATGATGACAGTTTATAATAACTTTCGGTGTAGACGAAAATTTTGGTTGTAATTTATCACCACGTAGAAATATTCTAGTTAGCACTAAATCAACAACCTTGTAATGAGGATCTTGACGATGTAAATCATACCTGTTTTTACTTAATTGTTGTTGTTGTATACTGTTTTCTTTAGCCAATTTACGATAAATTTTTAAGGTTCTTTGAAGTTGAATAAAATAATCATTCGGTTTTTGGAATGAAAAATGAACTGGTTTTGCATCAATTGGTAATCGTGGCTGTCGTCCGTACAAAAGTTCATATGGGGAATATTTTGTTGTCTTATGTATGCCTGAATTGTAAGCAAATACGACCGCCTGAAGATACTCGTCCCAGTTGTTATCTTCTGCATCTTGCAATTTTGAGATTTGTGGAACAAATGTGCTATTAAATCGTTCACCGATTCCATTAGTTTGCGGATGGTATGGTGCGCTGAATATATGGTTGTAGCCGATCAATTTTTGTATATTTTCGAAAATGTGGTCCTTGATTACTTAATATCACGGACTGAATTCCAAATTTACAAAAATAATCATTGAATAATGATTGAGCGGTAGTGTGTGCTGTGCAATCGGGTAGGGTTAAAGCGGTAATGTGCCGGATGAAATAATCCGTTATCACGAGGACGTACTGATTTTCACGAGGAGTTCTTTTGAATGGACCGCAGTAATCAATTCCAATCATTTGAAACGGTCCTTCTGGTGGTGGTATAGGACGAAGATGACCGTGTTTTTTCTGACGACTATAATTATATTGTTGACAGAGGATGCAAACTTTGATATGTTGTACAATTATATATCTCATTCGTGGCCACCAATATTGAGTTTTAATCTTGTTGTACGTTCTGTCTGTTGAAAAATGACCGCCAGTCATAGGATCTTTATGAATGGCATAGAGAAGTGGTTTAATCATTGATTCTGGGAGATAAATTACTTCAATCTTTGTTTTAGAATAACGTGGCGGTGAAATTAGCTTATACAGAATGCTGTCTTTTATAACATATGAAGAATTTTGTAAATTTTTATTAAGATTTACAATTATATTTTGAATATTGATATCTTTGTCTTGTTCGCCTTGTAATTTCATAACGTCAAAATGATTTGAAGTGAAATTCGATGGTATTTGTGTATTCGGGAATTTATCGTTTTCAGCGTCAAAGTCGTAGTGATCAGGTGAATTGTTATCTGTCGTCGTTGTTGCTCTAACATTTTGATTTTTTAGTGTTCTTAGTGTCATTGCCGATAATAAATTTGGATGAGAAGGAGATTGGTCTTCTGCTCCTACTGCCACTGGCAGCTGGAAAGGAGCAGTCTCCTTACTGGCAATGCCATAATCAATATCATTTAATTCATCACCTTGTTCTCTTGGATGTCTCGATAAATAATCTGGAAGGCAATTTTCTCTGCCTTTTATATGAATAACCTGATCGATATTGTATTCTTGGATTAAATTGTCAATTCGGTCAACTCTTATGTTTCTAACTGTTTTATTCATGATGTTGCATAGCGGGCAATGATCGGTCATGACGATAATACTTCTACCGAGTATAAAAGGACGCATTCTCGCGAAGCATTTGTAGATAGCAAGTGCCTCCTGTTCTATGGTACTATAACGTTTTTCACATGGTGTCATGAGTTGGGAATGATAGTATAAATTATGTGGTTGACCGTTGACTTCATGTTGTAATACTCCGCCTATCCCAATGGCACTTGCGTCCGTTGTCAGGATTAATGGTTTGTTATCAACAGGAAAGTTAAGAACTAGTGGTTGAGACGTTAATATTTGTTTGAGATTGTTAAATGCTTTTCTTTGTTCTTCTTTCCATTTAAATTTATGTCTATTTGCTTTCGTCAAATTTGTAACATCATGGATAGGGGCTGCGAGGGTAGCAAAATGAGGGAGAAATTTTCTATACCAACTCAAAGCTCCTATGAATTTGCTTGCTCGTGGTAACGTTCTTGGTTCTTTAATTTCTAATATCGTTTTGATTCTATCATTCATTGGTGTCACACTATCTTTTGTAATAGTGTGGCCCAGGTAGTTGATTTTTTGAACAGCAGTTTCACATTTTGGAGGGTTTAAGACGATCTGTTTATCACGTAATGCGGCAAAAACTTGGTTGGGATGATCAAGATGTTCGTCGAAAGAATGTGAAAAGACTATTACGTCATCAAGATAAACAACGCAAAACGAACGACACGATTTCAATGTATTTATCATAACCTTTTGAAACGCCGGTGGTGAATTTTTAAGCCCCATCGGAAGCAGATTGAACTGGTAATGACCAAATGGAGTGACGAAGGCCGTTTTGTCTTTATCTTCTTCGTTGATCGGTATTTGATATTAACTAATTCAATTCAAACCAATTGTCAATGAACAATATTTCTTACTTGATAAACAGTATTTGCTGTAGAAAAATGTCTCACCTTTACAGCGCAAATTGTTTAATCTGGGAATAATATTTTAATTTCTACATCAACAGCGATTGAATCCACGCTAAAAAGCAAAACACAATGAATAGTCTGATATATTATGAATCACAATTATTCCACTTACTTCATAAGTGTACTAAAATTCAATAATAAATCAGACAATAATTTATCGATTTTTCTACTGTATTACAGTTTTCGCACTTATTTCCAAATAAACTTCTAATCCACGATGTCTTCCGAAGACCAGCTTTTTCAGCTGAACCTTTGCCAGTGACAGTTGATACATGTTGAATAGGACCGTACAACGTACCATCGATTGATTTTACTGATCCTTCTTCATAGATTTGACCACGGACATTAAATCCAAATCCAGAATCTTTTTTCTAAATAATGGCAGTGCGTGGTGAAGTCACTATTGATTTCATTTGTTTTGTTGCCAACAATAAGGTAGAAGTACCATTTTTTGTGATGTTCGAAGTACAGGTAGTCTGGCGTTTTGTTCGGTAGCAAACTTTTTAACAGTGTCCATAGTCTGAAAAATATTTTCTAAGTAAATGCTAGGTTTATTTTGATTGCATCTACTACTTTAAACGTTTCTCACTTATACTCTCTAAAAGCCAATATTTGAAGCTATTTTAGAGCAAAAACTAATGTCCGTCGAAGAGTCCTTAAAGTAGTCAATCACTTTTGTCAGCGAAACTTCTTTATAATTTAAAAAACAGTCAGAGCGCCCAGCCTAAAATGCATAATAGAATAACGTTGTCCTCAATTCAAAATCTTAAATTTTGCCCACATTATGTCTGAGAGACTGTATCTCAATCACAGAACTTATCCCTAAAATATTTTCTTAATCAAGCGCTTCCTTCTTTAGTAGGTCGTCTGTGCAAAAATGTTGTATACAGGAGAGTAGTACATGGAAATGACATTCAATATGGATGATTTCTGTGACTTTATTACGGTCAAGAAAAGTCATCACCGAATCCTATCACCAAGTCGCCAGATTCTACGTGTTTTGACGTTGACGGCAGTGATCTAGTGATAGCATTTGGTACTGACTTTTCTTGACCCATTATTGCGTTATCAACAGGCTCATTTTTTTAGCCAATCGTCACATGCATAGATGACCTACTAAAGAAGGAAGCGCTTGATTAAGAAAATATTTTAGGGATAAGTTCTGTGATTGAGATACAGTCTCTCAGACATAATGTGGGCAAAATTTAAGATTTTGAATTGAGGACAACATTATTCTATTATGCATTTTAGGCTTAACGCTCTGACTGGAATTTGATACAAAGTTTGATACACTGTCTCGAGGGTTCTTGCTTAATCGTCATTTTCCCTTCTTAATAAGCAGACTTATTGATGTAGATTAATAATTCCACTACGGCATGCTTTTAGCAAACATGAGGGAGGATGACTGAAGAATATCGGCTACAGTCCAGAAAATATACTGCAGCCAGCTCCTATTATCATTAAAATAGTCGCATCACAAATTTCATCGTAGAAACCTTTTCACTTGTGCTCCATACTACTGCAAATTTAGGCTGAGAAAAGAAAGACCAAGAAATGATAGTAATAAGCAAGGAAGATATAGCAATGGCGGATCCAGAATTATTTTTTGGTACGTGCGGTATACGATAAAAGTGCAAGGTACGTGCGGTCGTCATATAAACAAATTATTCTAAGAGAGATCTGCTGGGGAAAAACAGGTTATTTGGTTAAAAGGTACGAGCGGCCGCTCGTACCGCTCGCGGGCTGGATCCGCCAAAACTATCAATAGATTTCTCTATATCTGATATAGAGAAATCTATTGATAGTTTTTCCTCTGGTGTAGAAATTAGTAGGGGCAAGAGTTCATTAGAAGAACAGTATATCTCTTTCGTTTTTTATTTATTGATCCACGAATAAACAAAACATTTTAATGAACAAAATATAGGAAAAAAAGCAACGACTGCTGTCATATTTTTTATGTTAGTTTAGGGAGACCCAGGTCGACGGTCACGTCTAAGTCGCGACGCGATCGCGATCACTATAAACTCATGGCTGTCGCGTCGCGATCGCTACAAAGTCACGTTATCACGTCGTGATCTTGGTAAACTCATGTTTCCCATTCTCCCATTCAAATCCCAGAAAATCCCATTCTCTTTTGACTAGTGAGTACAAAAAAATGTGGGGCCACTTTGATGGGGCATGAAAAAGCTCACCTAACTGCATAGAGTATCCTACAGGATAATGAGCAGGATTTAGCGTCAGCTTCCTTGGGATTCCAGATGAAACTCCTAGCTTGAATGTGTTTTTCACGTACGGCAGGCGTTGCCTTATGGAAATTAAACTCGCACGGAAAGGACGGAAGCAGGTCTATTAACTTTCCAGCTGATCAACCGAGTACCTTTTGTGTCGAACCGGAGTTGAGCAACTGAATTATGAGTTTGAGAAAAGAGAAACCTCTAAAAACAACTCCTAAAAAAATTCTTTTCATTGAATAAACCTGCAAAATAAATAAAAATCCTATATACAAGCCCTGTTCAGACAGGAAAACTCCAAATCGAATAAGCACTTCAAGAAGCAGGAGAAAAAAACAAGCGCGAGTAAGTAAAAGGCGCGATAGGAGTCTTCCGGGAGAAAAATCGTGAGTCCCTGCTTAGTCACGTCGCGACAGCGGGAGTCATTTCGCGGCAACAGCTAGTCGCGCTGAATTTTTTATAAAACACTGGACTCACGACGCGACTTTGTGAGTCACGTCGCGAGAATAAGGACTCACGTCCAAATATTGGGAAAAACATGGGACTCACACAGCGACAGCGGGAGTTACGCCGTGAGTTTTACGAGTGGATTTGAAAAACCCCTTTTCATCGTGAGTTTATAGTGATCGCGAAAAGCGTGACGTTTTTCGTGAGTCCAATAGCGATCGCGTTACGCGTTCACGCCATGACTTTTTTCCGTGACTCACGTCGCGACTTTGCCGTGAGAGTCGACCTGGGGAGTTCATTTTCTTAATGTAGGCAACTTTTTTTCTTTATTTTGTTCGCTTTGTTCATTAATTGTTTTGGTCGCTTAGTTATTTAAAACTTCCAAAAGTTAAAAACTTTTCATGATTCTCACGACTTACATTATGATTGTTGATTATTAGTCAACCAGTTACTGACATCCGTGAAAGTATAC